TAAACGCTAGGTGCCCACAGTCCCAGAAGTTTAAAACATTGTGTAATTCAATCAGTGACCTGGGGACAGACATGTGCTATGGCAAATCACAGTGACCACAATCAGCAGATGCCAAGCAGTGGTAGTTGGCAGATAGGTTCCAGAGAAGCATGAAGGGCGGTGTGACCGCCCCCACCACGCTGGTAAAAAGGAGGCTCGGGAAGACTGTCAAAAAGGAGCGGCGGCCAGCCGTAGGGTCCCTGACTGCTGGTGTCAAGGAGTTGGGGAAGACTCTGTCTCCCTGCGGGAGGGTTAGGAGCTGACCCTATCACGGCACTAAGGACGAAGCGCACGACACAGCCGATGCCAGCTCGCGCACCACCCGGACCGCCTGTGCCGGGCGCATGGAGAGCCACGCCGGGACAGCCCGTCCCGCCGCCGCCGCCGCCGCCGCCGCCCCGCTCACCTGTGCCCGAAGAGCCGCAGCCCCGGGAAGCGCCGCTTGGTCAGGCGCCGTGGCGCCTTGTCCGGCTCGGGACCCGCGTCGCGCTCGGAGCCGCTGGACGAGGCGGAGGCCGACTCCGAGTCGCTGCTCCGGGCCTCGGGGCTGGGGTCCCGCGGCTCCATCCGGCCCTAGCCCCGGCCGGCGGTGGGCCCGCGGGAGACGCCCATGCCGGGCCGGCGGCCGGGGCTCAGCACGCCCGCTCTGCACCGCCCGCCGAGCTCATGGCGAGCGCGCGCTCCGCCCGCCCTGTGCTGCGCGTCCCCGCGCCCCACTCCCAGGTGCCGGGGAAGCGGCCTCCGCTCCAGGAAGTGCCGACAGCCGCGGCCGCAGGACCCCGCATAGCTGGCCGGGCCTCTGCCTGCCCGCCCGCCGCCGCCGCCGAGCACGCCCCCTCGGCCGCACAGCCGCTCTCGCCCTACGGCGCCCTCTGCCGGCCTCAGGCCGCGTCTCCAGCCGGTCGAGGCGGCCTGGGGGCGGGGCTTACGAAGGGACCACCCCCACCTCCGCGGCCAGCCTGCCTGGATGGGACTGACTTCCTGGCCTGAGCCGCTCAAGCTGTTCCCTGATGTCTGATCTCCTCCCGCTCCCCTTAGTCCTCCTCCACCAAACAACCTACATGATCAAAGTATACACGCGCGCGGGCGGCTGTCACCACCTCTCCTCCCGCATCCACAAGTTATATATTGCTCTCTCGCACCCACTCAGCCACTCGTGGCGCTCCCCACTCTTACCCCCCTTGGCTCTCCATAAGCACACCCACCAACAAAAGTCACACGACGCTCTCCCTGCACACAGCAGACACGCCCCTCACATTTAATTACCCTCGGTCATTACTCAACTCACACTTTCTTCTCACATTCAAGACACCAAAGTCATTCGGTGACCTTCACACACTCACAAAGAACTTCAGTGTTCCTCAATGTCATCCCCTCCACAACTGTTTACAATGGCTTCAATCCTTCACCCACTCCTAACGTACGAAAAATTTCCCAGCCACAATGTCCAACATCCCCTTGAGCTCTTATACCATAGGGATGACCTATGTGCTTCCTACACATTCAAATGCACAAAAGGACAACAGTTACAGCCTACACATTCCTTCATATATACACCCATATAGAACAAAATATTTATCTCCTATACGGCAGTGGTTACAGGACCTCGTCTCTCTCTCTCTTACACACACAAACATCCAGAACTAGTCTTCATGTCTGACACACATTCTCCTCCAGAAATGAGACCAATTGGGACCGGGAGACACACCATCACACATGTTTTGGGCTCCACAACTCAGATGGTCTCTAGACGCTGCAGGGCTATGTCAAGGAGGCCTGGAAGCCAGAGACCTTGGTCCACCTTCTCACCAAATCATGCCACCCTGATGCCTGCTGCTTTAGTTTGCCCTCCGCTCAGAAAGCCACATCCTGTGTTGCCTTCACTTCCACCCTCTCCTCTGGGGCTCTGGCAACCTGTTTTCCAAGCTGAGCCTGCCACAAATAGCCAAAGTTAGGGGGCTGTGACCCACGAACAAGCCTGTGATTCTGAGCAACAGCCAACACCCAGGGGCCCAGCGCCCTCTCTTATACACTGAGTTTCCAGTAGGCCGGGAGAAGCTGGACTCCAGATCTCCAGATCCTGAACCAGGATGCCTAGGAAGATAGCCTGACCCTGGCTTCCCGGGGCACAAATGTTTTCTTTGAGAAGTCTTCGGGTGGTTATCACCAAGCTCTATGGGAAAAGCTTGGGGGGGGGGGGGCAGCTGAAGATCCTACTGAGTTTACACAGGCCTTGCATTGGATTGGGAAAACTCAAGCATCACATCACATCGCATCATGTACCACAGTTCTGAGAGAGCTTCTCTTCTGACAACCGCTGCCATTCTCTCTCAACTCCTATCCTGGAGAGAAGCCCTGTACCATGTTACCCCCAAACCTGGACACATCAGCGTTGCCCTCAAACCTCTCTCGCTTGTGCCTCCATGGAACTACTGGGAAATGGATGGGTGAGCCCACCTTGGCCATTCTTCCACACCAGACAGAAAGTTCATAGAGAGATGGAGGCCTCTGTGCCCATCCCAGGCCACCCCTGTACCTACTGTGTCTGGGGAACCTCAGCAGGGATCTGTGGCACGTCCCAGGAGCGGGAGCGCCACATCTGCCTCAGTGCCCCCGGCAGATCGGCTTCTTTCGTCCCCAGCACCTTCGCGGAGCCCAGAGCTGCAGCCACATCGCAGCCTCCCCCGGCGCTGTGGCCAGCCCCCAGTGCGCTCATCCTGCCCAGCGACTCTCTTCCTCTTTCCGCACTTCCTGACTGGGGGTGTGTGGGGGGGCTACTAGAGGCCGGCTGGAGGATCAAGCCGGGGACCACAGGGCTTGTCGGCGCCTTCCGCTGACTGGGGCAGAAGACCAGCAAGGGCACAAAGCTGCATGGGAGTGCAGGGGGCAGGTGGGGACAAGCCCAGTCTAGCAGTCAAGAGACAACCCCAAGCAAGAGTCAAAAGCAGCCAGGCAGCCAGTAGACCTGCCTGGGCTGGAATCTGCACCCCAGCTCCGGTATGCCTTTCCTTTCCAAATAACTTCTCTGAATTTCATCTCTTGGATCTGCTAAGGTCTCTGGGTTTCATGACATTCCCCCAGGCCCACTGACTCCAGGATATGCTCTCTCTTAGCATCTTGTATGCACCATACCATCCAACAGAGCTAGGCGCACAGGGTGTGTTGAAAAGGGCAATGGACGGAGCTGGAAGACACCAGCTCATGTTCAGTCTCTCCCCTCTGCCAGCAGTGTGACTTGGACCAGGTCATAAATCTCCTAAAGTCACTTTACATTTTTAATTTTTTTGGAACAAGGCTATAAACAATAAACCAGTGCCTATGTTTGTCTGAGAGCTTTGGGGAGCCTCAGTTTTCTCATCTGTAGAATGGACTATAACTTGGACTCATTGGGTTGTAAGTGGATTAAAAAAGAGGTGAAAGGGTTTATAGACTATTTGGGAAATATTTATTGGTGCATTGTATGCATGGGGCACTGTATTAGAGCAAGGAGCTAGGAAGCAAGTTCTACCTTCCTGGAACTTACACCCCGCGAGGGAGGAGAGAGAGACAATCAGGGGGACTGGGCAAGGAGGTGGCATTTGAGAATAGACCCAAATGAATCATGAGAGTGGACCATGTGACCATCAGGAGACCAGCACTGTGGATGGAGAGAACAATAAAGCTTAGGTCCCAAACAAGGAAGAAGCATTGTAGCTGAAGAACTGGGAGGCAGGAGGATGCTAGAAGGTCTGGGAAAATGCCCTGAGGCCAGACCGCCCTGGAGAGTGAGGCTCCCTCGGAGGTTAGCAAATGGTAAGAGCCAATGCTCACTCCTATTCTCCAGGCTGCCTAGGGAGGAGACTGAACCTTCCTCGGGCATTCTTTCATCGAGCAGCTTTATAATTAGCTCTTTAGTTGTGTATGTGTTTGTTACTCCAGCGAGACTGTGAATTTCTTGAGGACAGAAACAGTGTCAGTTCAGTTCACAAAGCATGAACGCTGCAGAATCCGCTGTCAGTGCTGCATGACCTCCATGCTGGGCGTCACCCTTGTCTCCTTGTGACTAGAACATAGTAGCTTTCAGTACCTTACCTGATGAATGCATACCTTGAATAATTAATACTCAGCCTAATAAGCACTTCTGTGCCAGAAACTTACTGAATATAAAATTATCTCATTGAATTCTTTAATGACCCTATGAGGTATAGCTTGTTATTTTCCTCTTTTTAAATAATAATAAAAAATGAAGCTAGGCCTTTAGTTTTATTACTTGGGAAGCCGAGGCAGGTGGATCTCCATGAGGGCCAGCATTCTCTACATATCAAGTTCCAGGCCAGCCAGAGCTACATAGTTAAGACCTGTTCTTAAAACAATACTGGACAGTAGTGGCACACACCTTTAATCCCAGCACTCAGGAGGCAGAGGCAGGAGGATCTCTGTGAGTTTGAGGCCAGCCTGGTCTACAGAGAGAGTTCCAGGACAGCCAAGGCTGTTACACAGAGAAATACTGTCTCGAAAACAAAACAAAACAAAACAAACGAACAAACAAACAAAACAACAACAACAAAAAAACAAGGCAAAAAACAGAAACAAAAAAAACCAACAACAACAAAACACACACACACAAAATTACCCTTATTTCTGTGTGTTTGTATATATGCATGTGTGATGTGTGTGTATATGAGTGTATACGTGTATGTATGTATTTGTGTGTGTGTGTGTGTGTGTGTGTGTGTGTGTGTGTACTTGTGGAGGGCAGAGGACTGTTTGTGAGAGCTGCTTCTCCCCTTCCAGCAAGAGGGTTCTGAAAATCAAACTCAGGCATTACGCTTACAGCAAGTACCTTTACTCTCTGAGCCATCTTGCCAGCCCTGTTTTCCTCCTTTTATGTGAGGAAACAAAGTCACAGAGCTGCCAATCTTACTAGTCTAAGATCTTCTTGTATTGAGATTAAGTAAAAAAAAAAAAAAACCACAGACAAAAAAGAATCTAGCTGCCGGTGGTGGCGCACACCTTTAATCCCAACACTCGGGAGACAGAGGCAGGTGGATCTCTGTGAGTTCGAGGCCAGCTTGGTCTACAGAGTGAGTTCCAGGACAGCCAGGACTATACAGAGAAACCCTGTCTCAAAAAAAACCCAAACCAGACAACCAACCAAACCAAACAAAGACTGACCCCGGGTCGAAGATACCTCATTGCCTTTCTAAAGTCTGAGTGCATGGTCAGGCTCTGCACCCCTTTTTCCAACTGATGTCCCTTGAACACGAAGGAACACGTCACCTCTGAGTCCTTCAAGATGGGCTCTTTGTGGTGAGGTCTATCAGAGACTTTACCCACCAGGCCAAGGTCTATTCTAAAAGGAGGCTGTGGCAAGGCCCAGCCTTCCTCTCCCAGGCATTCTGCAAGCAGCTCCGGCAGTTAAACAGAGGAAATGGGGCTGGCCTTGTTTTCCATCTGGACAGCAGAGAGCAGGAAACGGTGTTTCTGGAGGGGAAGCCAGGCCGGCCTGAGGCTTTGAGTTGCAGGGTAACTATGACTATGCAGCCAAGGCCACTTGGGGCTCACACTGTACGGCTCTCGGGGCCAGCTCTGCTATCCAGGTTGGGTGGGGAGGACAAGGCGGAGAGAGGCAGGTGTACAGGGCTGGGGAAGATGCCCTTGGTAGTTCTCAGGACATGTGTCAGCACTGGGGAGCTGGGGACCCCTCAGAATCCACCCAGGTGCACGCAGGAAGAGGAATCTGGGTAAGAAAATTATTCTGGGCTTTGCTGAAGCCCCTGAGGATGAGGCGTTCTACTTTCTGTGGCCTGGATGAGCAAGTGGGAGCTGGGGAAAAGAAATGTACCAGGCCACCACATACTCAACCCATGACCTGGACATCCTCTGCCCTCAAAACCTGCCAAGTCTGCCTCCTTGGTCTGACTTTCAGGCTCCTTCTATCCGGACTTCACTGGCTTCCTTGCCTCCTTGCCCAGGAGGGCATTTCCCTGTGGAGGTATTCTTTCAGCTTACATCATGCAAGGGTATGCTTCTGTCATAGATGCTCAATAAACAAAGTTTCCCTATTTTTTCGTGCTCTCTCAATTGTGGTCCTGACCCCTGAATTTCATTCTGTCTGTGCTGCTGGATGCATTGTCTTGCTGTCATGGTGGTCCTTGCCATTTTGTCAAATGGAATCTTCATCCTTCAGACCCCGACCCAAGCAACAGAGCTGGGAAAGTGGAAAGAGCTCACTTAGCTCACACCCCAGTCCTTGCTGTGTAACTCGGCACTCACAACTCATTAACCTTAAGTTGGACTTGATGATTCCTTTCTATTCTATTTTATGATATTTACGTATTTATTTTTGCAGTCCCAGGGATGGGGATTGAACCTAGGTTCTCTTGCATGCCTGTGTTCTACCACACTAAGCTATACCCCTCAGTCCTGCACTGGGTGACAAGGTCTCAGGCCCATGGTAACCTCAGACTTACTATGCATCCAGTGCTGCTGGTGACAGATGGGAACCAGAAGCTCCTCCCGGGTGGCTCATGAAAGTATGAACAGAAGTCAGTCTGGATGTGGAAGGGGTAGTACTCTTCCACTGGGGCAGGGGATACAGCCCCAGCATGGGCAGCTTAGCAGACCCTCATCATTTGGAAGCCACTCTGGCTCCGTCCGATCCCCACACTGAAGGTAAGAGGGGAGCTTGGCTGGTTCTCGCTTTAGGTTCAGCAGGTTCTGCCTCTAGAGACGACTCCCTTTTGCCCCCAGTTTGGATTATACAAAACCCCCCCAGGCAGGACAGGCAGATTCACGACAACCCTCCCACATCCTGGGTAGTCTCAAGCTGGGAATACAGAGAAAACTCCCATCCCCTCCACTACCCCTCCCAGATACCGGCACTCAGTATGGAACCCAAAGAAAAGACCCTCCAGGATGAAAGGCTAGGCCCTTGGAAGCACACAAGCCTGGGGGTTTTGGAATGAAACAGATCAGATTACGTTTCAGGTTGTGTGGTCTAAAGAAACTGCTTGACTTAGCTGGGAGGTGGTGTTGCATGCCTTTATTCCCAGCACTCGGGAGGCAGAGCCAGGCGGATCTCTGTGAGTTTGAGGCCAGCCTGGGCTACCAAATGAGTTCCAGGAAAGGCGCAAAGCTACACAGAGAAACCCTGTCTCGGAAAAAAACAAAAAAACAAACAAACAAAAAAAAAAAAAAAGAAAAGAAAAGAAATTGCTTGACTTTTCTGAAGCTTCATAGATTGTAGATTGTGTCTTCAGGGAACTCCAACCCTGCTCTACACACCACCTTCCCCAGTCATCTGTGGAGTTCAAAAGCCGGGAATCTAGTCCTGGTCTCTTCCCAACTCCCTTCCGGGACACTAGAGAGGTTTCCCAGCCTGCACTGGCCCTTGTCCTTGGACCCTGACCCTTAGGGCTCTTCTGAATGTTCTGTTATGAAAATGTACGTCTCAGACAAAAACAAGAGACTTTGTGGTGCCCTCACTTCTTTGCAGCACCCCTGGGAACCTCCTCAAAACCACAGCTACCTCTTAGCAACCTTGGACATACCCAAATGGCTTATGCCATATGGCATTTGAAGGGCTGGGGACACATCCCAAACTCCTTATGTCAAAATGAAGTCTGATGAAACCCTCTTTCCGACCGCCAACTGATGCTCGGAGGCCTTAGACTGAGTCTGCTCCCGCCTCTGGAATCTGCGGGCCCTGGCCTTTCCCTCCTTCTTCTGCGGGAACCTCCAACTGCAGGAAGGAGTTCCGGTCACGGCCTGGGCTCCCGCTCTTACAAAGGAAGGAAAATGGACGGACCCCCGGCTTCCGGCTTCCTCTGGCAGCGGTCCCCTCCCTCCCCCTGCTCCAGCTCAGTTCTCTGCCCCCGGTTTTTGCATTTTTAATTCAGGACAGAATGTGATCTCTCTCAAGCTTCTTGCTTTATCCTGTTGCTATTTAAATTACAAATCGGCCCCATCTCCCTGTCACTCTAGGATTATTTTTAGCTTCTGGTAAATAGCAGCAGGGAGAGTAGGATCAGGTGCCCCTCCCTCCCTCGAGGAGCTGTGTCCCCGCGACTGTGTGCCCGCCGCAGGGGGCACCCTCCCTGCCAACTGGCGCCACTAGCGTCCTGGGAGGGTGGAGGGATACAGGGGCAGTGGGGGCTGGGTCATGCTCAGTTCCTGCTCTTAGCGGCGGCTGCCTTTGCTATCCTCAGATCCCACTGCTTAGCCTTGCTCAGAGCCAGCTTCCACCATCCTTCCTGGACCCCCCTAACCCGTCCAACCCTAGGGAAGATCTAGCCGGCGGCGGTTCACTACTTCCCCTGGAGTCAGGATCTGTATGCCCGCCCCTTGCCTGTGTCATCCTTCCAGCCACACTACTGAGTGGGTATCATTGTGCCCATTTTCCATACGAGGAAACAGGGTTAGAGGTGAGAGCTTCACAACTCAGAAGGGTCAGAGCTGGCTTCCACTGGGCCTCTCAGCCCCTAAGCCAGAGTGCATATCTCTCTTGGAACTCAGGAACCACACCTTAAGTCTCTGTGCTCAGGCGATGGATGCATCAGTATGTTTCCCCTATGCCTGTGCGGTCCCATCTACCGGATCAGGGGTAACAAGCCATGGCTCCTGGGCCTCATCTGGCCCAGTGCCTGATTGTATAGGATCCTGCGAGCTATGAATGGTTTTCCCGTTTCTCGAAACAGGAAGAAACCAAAGAGTAATATTTTGTGACCGTGAGATGATACGAAGTGTACAGTTCAGGGTCTCTAAGTAAAGCTTTAGAGGAAGCCGGGCACACTTGCTCCTTTACACGCTGTCTACGACTACTTTTGCACCACTGTCAGGGCCGAGGAGCCATGACAGGGAGCTCGTGACTCGCAAAGCCTGAAATATTTGCTGTCTGGCCTTGAACACGATCCTTTTGTCAAGGAAAAAGACTGAGCCCCACGGTGCGGTCGTCAGGCAGCCTGTCGGCAGGGCCGGAACTCCAGGGCCGTGACAGCATCTGTAGAGGGACACCTCCCGCCAGCCACACCCAGCAGATCATCTCTGTTTTACTCTCTTTTATCCAGAATCCTTCTTTTTGACTTCTCCATAGGTGAGACCAGCGGTTTTCAAACTGGCTGAACTGCCAGAATCATAGGAGGAGTTAACAGATCTGGACTCTAAGTCCAGTTGGAGGGGTTGGAGGATTCCAAGGGTAGGGTTTAACAAACCATTCTATTGTCTCATTCTTTCTTGACGTCTTACCAGGGATTGAACCTAGGGTCCCACCCATGCTAGGCAGGCACTCTGTCCCTGAGCTACAACTTCAGCCCTAAAAAGTATTGTAGGGGGCTGGAGAGATGGCTCCGCAGTTAAGTGTGCGACTGGTCTTGTACAGGACCCAGCTTTGGTTCCCAGTGCACACATGTTGGCTTACACCCACCTGTAAATCCAATTCCAGAGCATCTGACCCCCCTCTTCTGGCCTCTCTAGGATCCCATACACAACTGGTGTGCAGGTTTACACACATGCACATAAATTTTAAAAAAAAATGTTTTTTTTTTAATTCATTTTAAGCCGGGCGGCAGTGGTGCATGCTTTTAATCCCAGCAGAGCCAGGCAGATCTCTGTGAGTTCGAGGCCAGCCTGGTCTACAGAGCGAGATCCAGGACAGGCACCAAAACTACACAGAGAAACCCTGTCTCAACAAAAACAAAAGAAACAAAAAAAAATCATTTTAAAAGACATCCCCAGGTGATGTGGTTTGGCTACTGGGCTTAACACTAGAGGAGTTCACAAACAACACATCCAGCATCCCTCACACCTTTCTGCCTTCCTTAGCCACTTCTCTTGAACCCAACTCTAAATGATTAGGACTCTTTCCAGTGTTTGGGGAATATACCTCTCCCCAGTCCAGACACAGACGTGAGACAGGAGCGCTCTATATTCGGTCCTGCTTTTTTGATGGAGATTTATTGGAAATCAGGTCCCTTTTAATCCAAACAAGGGCCTACCCCACTCCAAATCTAACTGGCTCTGTTTTCCGCCTGTGGTGACTCTGGGAGGCGACAGGAGCTATTTCTCAGCAGGCCCCTCCTCCCTAGAAGGTCCTGCTGAAAGCCCCCCCCTTCCCCCGTGGTCCTGACTTGCGTCAGGAGCCGCCCGCCAGGCCTCTGTTCTGCTTCCGCCTGCACCCCCTCTCTTGCCCTCATATTTCTATGCCCCCGCACTTCTGCCTGAAAGCCTTTTCTCTCTGTGAAGGGCTTTCAGCTGCTTTTCTTAGCAACTCCTCACAGCAGGACTGGAGGTTTAGCTGCGAGCCAGAGCTTTGTGGAACTGTAGCAGGCAGAGGATGTGAAAAGGGCCACAGTGGGCCTGAGCTCCCAACAGCCCTGGGACAGCTTGGAAGTGGAACAGCAGCACGGTCAGCAGGCCTCTCAGGCCTTCCCACGCGGCTCTTCCACTGTTGCCTCACCACCTCCTCCTCCTCCTCTCCCTCCTCCTCGGAAGGCTCAAAGGGCCCAGAGCTGCTTCCTCCTTCCTGGTAGAGGCCCTCCTTGCCTTAATGCCTTGCCCAGTTCTAGTGCTAAGACTAGACCCCTGGGTGACCTCAGCATGTGAAGAGTATCCTGCACAATCTCTCCTGCCCTGATACAATCCTCAGAAAAATAGACCCAACTTGGGTACTATGCATCCTTGATGGCTAGGAGCCTCCATTCTGGGGTGTGGAGGGGCAGTCAGTCCTCACAGCTGCCTCCCAACCCGCTGTGTGTGTTCATGTACACATAGTATCTTCTATGTGTACATGAACACATAGAAGATACTATGTGTTCTTTAATGATGCTCCGTTTACTGTTCTCCAAGCCTCTATCCCACCCTGGCCTCCTTTCCAGCAGAGATGCTACATGTCCCTGACTTGCATCTAGGGAAAATCCTGGTGTGGTGCTTTTTGTATGAGCCCAGACAGCTAAGCATAGGTGTGTCTTCGACCAGATCTCCTGACTCCCAAAGCAATAATATTTCTTCCAGGATTCTGTATGCTCTGCACTTCCCCCAGGGACACTTTCAGGAACTCCTCTAGCTCAGCTAGAGGCCCTGGCAGATGATACTTTCTTCTTAGCAGGGCTCTGGAAGACCTTGGTAATGGAGCCAAGCATGCTCATGATTCTCAGAGTGCAGGTAAGACCTTTGGGAATCTAACCTATTTTCCATTTCCTCTGAGCATCCGGATCCCTTCGGGATGGTGGTTAAGATCCCTCTCCATCCTCCCTCAAGTGATGGAGGCCTAATGGTTTCATAACCATTAAGGCCCTTTCAGCTCTCAGGGCTGGGCCAATTATGTTCCATCTTCCCAGAAGGTGTGGGGAGAACCAGGGCAGTGTAGGACACACCCAAGCTCCTTGTGGTTGCCAGACTTGTCTCCTCCCATCAGGCTAATGGCTTTAAGGGATGCAGATGCACATTGGGATGTCCCTACTGGACCCTCCAAAGAATGTCACTCTGTGCCAAGGGCTTGATGGGGGAAGCAAGTCCTAGTTGAGGTTGTGGTCCATGAAGTGAAGGGGAAATCGAGGACTGCCCATCTCCCTTCCATCTGGGCACCACCCTTGTTCTGAGGGTACCTTTTCTCACAAGCATCTCACTTCAGGTCATTACAGTGGACTCTGGGGGCCACTCCAGTTGTTTCTGCCAGGGGCCCCTTTGAACAGAGGTGGCAGGACCAGAGAAGTGGGATTTTATGTAGGCAGCTGATAGATTAATTAAGATGTTGAATGGACAATGAGGGTGGGGTGTCTGCTGCTGTGGATGCTCGTGTAGACCTGCTGTGATGCAGGGGGCTTGGTAGGAATGTCCTTCCCCATTTCTGGGCAGTAGGTTTCCAGCTGTTGTGACAGAAAGCACCTCCTGTCCACCAGTTCGTGCTTAGCACAGGGGCAGCCCACAGGAGGGCACAGAGGAGGGAGGCTGAGTGTACAGGGGTGCCTGCTCCTTCTGGAAGAAAGGCCAGAAGAAGGCTCTCCTCTCCTTAGCCCATAGAGGTTTGTAAGGACCACGTTTTGGTGGGTTTTCTCCTAGAACAGAGACGCAGCACTAGGCACACAATTGTCACTCAGTAGTTAGATGCTGAATGAATAGAGCTTTCACAGTTCTGGAAGGGAGGGTACTCCTGCACCCCTTCTGGATCCCCAGCCCCTACAGCAGGACCAGGCAGGCGGCAGGTGGGCGCGTCGTGAACGCTGCTAGTTCAATGCTGGTCGTGGGATGGTCCCCGCGCAGTGTCCCCTCGGTCCCCATCCTCCTTACCTGTAAGACACCTGCTTTCGGAGGTGCATCTGGCGGAACCGCTCTTCCACCAGGGGTCCGGCAGCCACACTTCGGGTACCCTCGGGCCAGGGTTGAAAGACCTCAGCCTCCTCCCCGCGCCGGCAGCGCCGCCGCACCACCTCCTCCTCCACAGCCCGGCCGCCGGCGGCCCTGTCCCCGCGCGGTCCTCCTCCCCCTGGCCCCTCGGCCATCCTTCCGCGGCCTGCGTCTGTGCTCCCAGGCCTGGCGGGGATCCCACCAAAGTTCAGTCTCGAGCGCTACCGGGCCGGGGGCGCGGAGCAGGGAGCAAGGCAAAGAGGAGCTGGGTCTTGCACGTCTGTCGTGACGCTGCGCCCAGACGACAGAGTCCGGGAGCTGCGGGGCGCCGCGCCAGAGAAAGGCCAGCGGGGATGTCCTGAGCCCTGGGGAGACTGTGTCCTTGGAAGGGTCGGGATGCTGCGTGGGGCGCTGCCGGGGCGAACCCGGGACCGCCGGAGCCCGAGGACGAGCCCAGCCAGAGCCTTGTAGCCGCCGCCGCCTGCACCGGAGTGTCACCTTAGAAACACTCAAGCCGTGGGGTCCGAGGGGAGGGCGTCACCTCGCGCCGCTTGACCGGCCCGGGGCCCCGAGAAAGAGAGCCCGGTGCAGCGGGCCGCGGCCACCAACCTCGCTGGGGGCTCGAGGCCAGGGTGCGAGACGCTGCCCCGGCCCACCTCTGAGCCCCTGCCCTGGCGCTGGTACCAGCTGCACGGCACCTGCCAATCATCGCTCCACCTGTCACTCAGCCGCAATGATGCACCCCCCCCCCTTCTGTCCCGCGTTTTCCGGCTTTGGCATTCGCTGCTGCTGTAGGCAGGTGGGGGGGGGGGGGCGGACAGGGGCGGTGACACGAGGCAGCTTTAACCCTGTCGGCGCTGTGGGAGTTTAGAGATCAAGTTGGACTTGAGGAAGGGGCACAGGAAACACACAGCTTACATCAATCTCTAGGTACATCTCGGAATTGTGGGGACACCATCTCCAGACCTAGAGCTCTCAGGACCAGGGCTTAAGCTGGACCAAGTTGGGTTGTGTGTAAAGTCATAGCTCCCAACCTTGGGGTGCTCAGCCTTCTGGAAGTCCTCTAAGTTGTTGGATTCAGGGTATCCCAGACAGCGAAATCAGTACCTTCTAGGACAGAAGCTGTTAGGTGAGGGGAGCCAAGGGACCAAAAAGAAGAACTAGACATTTCCCTGGGGTCCATATTGGGTTTCTCTGGCTTCTTAGTTCCATGTCTGTGTTTGTATCATCTCCTCTTAGGTTTGGGGGTGTTTTCCAACTGAACATTTCGTTTGGACTATTGCAGGAATCTGGGTGAGGCCTCAGACCTAACGTCTATTTGTGACCCAGACTTTATCTTTCTGAAGTTGACTTGCGACCACAGATTACCCCTCCGTTCAGTATTTAATGGCTGTCCTTTTCCTATACTCCAGTCTGATAGTCAAGGCTCATATCCCAGCATCCCAGCGTCCAGCCCTATCCATCCATTCATCCATCCATTTACTTGTATGCATTTTATTCTGGAACTGGTATCACTTCTTCTTCTTCTTCTTCTTCTTCTTCTTCTTCTTCTTCTTCTTCTTCTTCTTCTTCTTCTTCTTCTTCTTCTTCGGTTTTTCGAGACAGGGTTTCTCTGTGTAGCTTTGCACCTTTCCTGGAACTCACTCTGTAGCCCAGGCTGGCCTCAAACTCACAGAGATGCACTTGGTTCTGCCTGCTAGTGCTGGGATTAAAGGCGTGCACCACCACCGACTGGCCTGGTATCAGTTCTTCATAGCATCATTTAGGTTGTCCGCTCCACCTGAAAGTCCCTTCTATGACAGATTTTTAAATTCTGAGGCTCCCTCAAAAGTTTTCCAATATGGCTCCTCAGTTGGTCCAGCTGACCGGCTTCTTCCTAGTCTTCCTTGTCCTCTGTGCAGATGTCTAGCGTGGTCCGTCCTTCATTCCCACTGCCTGTGAGTGTGGGAAAGTGGGAGAGGCCAGACTCACATGGGTAGAGAACAGGCTTTGGGGTTCTCTGGTCTTCTGCATCCTGGCTCTATGCCTTTGCTTAGGTTATCCATCGCCTGGGTTCTTTGTCTCTCATTAGGGAAAGAGCATCCATCCTTCAAAGCCCATTTCCAGAGCCGTTGCCCCCACGCATCCCTTCTTAATGGTTCTCTCTTCTCTGGCCCAAGCAGATTTCATCAGGCGTACCCTGCACACTCTAACAGCTACCATCTCCTTTGTCCCGAACCACATCCCTGGGTGGTAGGTATTATCACTTCCTCCATGCTGTAGAGAAGGATTCAGAAATGACATTCAATGATTTAGTTGCTCAAAATAGCTCATGGTGAGTGGCAGCGCACTTGGATTTAAATCCAGGCCTCTGGTACCAGCACCCATGTCTTTTTCCCTCCACTGATCTGCTATGGCAGCCCTCCCTTCTCTCTACTCTGGAAACTTCCTAAGGTCTGCTATCATTTTGCTTCCCACATCTTAGTGTCCCAGCAAGCCCCTTTTGGATAAAGGAATTGGATTAAACTTCCTTGGCTGTAAAGGAGCTTTCTCCCCAAAGCCAAGTTATAAAGAAATCCTGCTGCTGGGGGGTGGGGAGCCCCCACCCTGCACCCCAGCTGTCCTCGAGTCTGCCCTTCTAGGATTCTGGGCTTTGATTCCCAAGCAACCTGGCCCAGAGTAGCCTCCTACACTATGAATTATGGTAGTGCTGGCTGGGTTTGACATTCACTCACCAGCTGCCTAGCTGCTGGGTTCCCGGGCTGGGTTTTTGTTTGGCTCTTTCCTCTAGAGCTCTCCCCCACTTAGTGCTTTTTAAAGTGGGCCTCATTCCACCATCCACACACCTCCCTACTTAGGGCTAGCTGCTGGCTGCATTATCTTGAAGCTAGGGCTTGGCCTCCTTCCCGACCAGCCTCACCACCTTCTGCAGCCCTTTGTAGCTGTCTCTCACTCCTCTGGGCCCAGCCCACCCATTACCCCTGTACTTAGAGAATGGTTACTGATGTCTACTGCATAATGGCTCTGGCGCTAAGCATTTTCCGGGCAAGTTTTCATTGACTTCACAAACAGCTTTAGGAGGGTGGGTACCATTTTACTGATGCACGCACTGGGGCTTGGAGACATTAAGTAGATTAGGGAGACAGCACATACTTCAGAGACCATGTACTTAGCCACTTTGATGACCAAGCAGCTTGGACTCATTTGGAGTCAAGTGGCCTGGCCTATCTCCTCCACTCCCAGGGAGACCCACAAGGGTACTTGTTACCTACATCAGGCAGGTGTTCATTTTGGTCAGGTGGTTCCTGAGCTGGTCTGGCCCTCTTGGGTCTAGAGCCTTGCCTGGTCCATCTCTGCTCATGGCTTCACCCTCAGCTATTCACACGGTTTTCAGAACTTTGGTTGCTAGCTATAACAAAGGGTTTGCTGTGGTCGTTGAGGCAGGATAACTGGCATTGTCAAAGCTGTCACATGGACTATGTCAAAGCAGGCTGCCAGGACTGATGACAACTGAAACTATTGCTCCATTGCTGGGGATACACCCCCGTAGGGTCAGTGACCCCCCTCCCCCAGAAGTACAGTTTATAGATGACTTGTGGGAGGGGATTAACCCTACATCCTAACACAGGCTGGGCAAGCATCTTGGATAGACCTGCATGAGGAGCTGACCCCAGATCAGCTACTTGCTAGCCATGGGCTTCAGGAAACTCTGAGAGTCAAGTCCCTTGTATGGTCATTAGAGGAGGAAGTGGGGACAGGAAGGAACGCTAAGAACTGTGGTGAAGCTGGTAGACCTGTATTCACATAACAGCTTTGGTATTCAAATGGCTTGGTCAGATGATTCTCTTTGAACCTTGATCTCTCTCTCTCTCTCTCTCTCTCTCTCTCTCTCTCTCTCTCTCTCTCTCTCTCTGTGTGTGTGTGTGTGTGTGTGTGTGTGTGTGTGTGTGTGTGTGCGCGCGCGTGCATGAATGCCTGAGCCTGTGGAAACCAGGAGAGGTGGGAACCAAACTTGGGTCCTCTGCAAGAGCAGTGCACACTCTTTTTTTTTTGGTTTTTCGAGACAGGGTTTCTCTGTGTAGCTTTGCGTCTTTGTTGCAACTCCCTCTGTAGCCCAGGCTGGCCTCGAACTCACAGAAATCCGCCTGCCTCTGCCTCCCGAGTGCTGGGATTAAAGGCGTGCGCCGCCGCCGCCGCCGCCACCCGGCCTAGTGCACACTCTTAACTGTAGAACATCTCCTCAGCCCTGAACATTGGCTTGTTGTTTTCATCTGTAGAATGCCCTTCTTGGCCAAGCGTGGTGGTGCATACTCTAATGCCAGCGCTCAGAAGGTAGACAGACAACCTGGCCTTTGTAGTGAGTTCCAGATAAGCCAGACTACATAGTAAGACTCCATCTCAAAACAAACAAATAAGCACACAATCAAAAGCCTTCTTTAGGAGGATGTAGGTCAGTGACTAAGCACTGGCGCAAAGCCCTGGGTTTCATCCCTAGCACCGCACAGAGGGGAGGGCATCTCTTGGACTATTTCCGTTCCGGCTGGGATATACACAGTTCTCAGTTCAAGTGGGCAATGGGAGAACGCCACACAGGAAAGCTACTGAGGAACGAGACTGCTACCGAGGAATGGGGGAAGGAGAGAGGCTTCTGTTAGTCTGTGGGACCGCCTGCAATTGTCTCTTGTCTTCATTTCATGCCAATACTCTCTTGCCCTGGCCCAAGCCTCACAGTTATTGGGGGCTCCTCGGTCTCCTCTCCCTCCCGTTCTACATCTGTCAAACACCTGCCCCTTCTTACCCAGGTCTTCTTGGTGCAAGGGAGCCCCTCCCCTGGCTCTCTGGCTCCCATTCCCCACTACTGTCTCTGCTTATGGTGCCTTCAGTCTTCTGTCTATTGTCTGTCTTCTAGAAATAATCATGGTCAGTCTCCTCTTGTGTGAAAAACAGCCTGAACTGCTCCTGATCTTGTCTGGATGACCCTCTAGGGATCACCTTCTATTCCTTGTCCATGCCCCATCTTCCCCAGCCTTCACTTCCATCCCTCCCATTCCCACCTCCATCCCTCCAGTTCCCACCTCCATCCCTCCAGTTCCCACCTCCATTCCTCCAGTTCCCACCTCCACCCCTCCAGTTCCCACCTCCATCCCTCCAGTTCCCACCTCCATCCCTCCAGTTCCCACCTCCACCCCTCCAGTTCCCACCTCCATCCCTCCAGTTCCCACCTCCATCCCTCCAGTTCCCACCTCCACCCCTCCAGTTCCCACCTCCACCCCTCCAGTTCCCACCTCCATCCCTCCAGTTCCCACCTCCATCCCTCCAGTTCCCACCTCCACCCCTCCAGTTCCCACCTCCATCCCTCCAGTTCCCACCTCCATCCCTCCAGTTCCCACCTCCACCCCTCCAGTTCCCACCTCCATCCCTCCAGTTCCCACCTCCACCCCTCCAGTTCCCACCTCCATCCCTCCAGTTCCCACCTCCATCCCTCCAGTTCCCACCTCCATCCCTCCAGTTCCCACCTCCACCCCTCCAGTTCCCACCTCCATCCCTCCAGTTCCCACCTCCATCTCACTTCTGCCAGAGCTCCTCCCAAGGGCACCATGACCTTCTCACTTCAGCTTTCTAGTCTCCATGGCATTTGACACTCTGGTCACCCCATCCGGTCTTAAAGCTGCTCTCTCTCTCTCTCTCTCTCTCTCTCTCTCTCTCTCTCTCTCTCTCTCTCCCTCCCTCCCCCCCTCCCCTCTCTGTTTTTTTGTTTGTTTGTTTGTTTTTTGGTTTGTTTTTGTTTTTGTTTTTTCCTTTCCAATACAGAGTTCTCTGTGTAGCTCTGGCTGTCCTGGAGCTCACTCTGTAGACCAGGCTGGCCTTGAACTCAGAGATACCCCCCCACCCTACCCCCACCCCTCGCTCCTAGACTTCTCTATTGTTTCTGGACACTCACTTCCCATCCCCCTCCCTCTCCCTCCTTCTGTCTCAGTCTCCCTTCACTTGCTTCCTCCTCTCTGTGGTCTTCCCTGGTGTTCAGCTCTTCTCTCTCTTCGCAGTGCAGTCCGCAGTCCCTAGATCCAAGCCTCTAGCATCACCTGGATGCTGACATTTCCTAACCTCAGCTGGGAGCCCTTAGATTTAGATTTACATGTGTTAGGTTCCCTCCTCCTCCTCCTCCTCCATGTCTTCTTTTTTTTGCATGTGCTTGTGTGTTTGCATTCATGTGGAAGTCGGAGGACAACTTTCACGGGTGTTCTTGCCTTCTGATTTTTTCTGTTTTGTGTTTTTTTTTTAAAAGACATAGTCTCACTATGTAGCCTTGAACTCGCTATGGTGACTAGTCTGGCCTCGATCTCAGAGGTCCACCTGCCTCTGCCTCCAGAGTGCTGCATTAAAGGCCTGCACTATGTTCCTTCTGTCTTTTGAGGTCTCTGCCGTGGGCTGTGAGCTGAGCTTCCAAGAGGTTCCCCTGTCTCTTGTCTCCCATCTTGGCTGAGATTACAGGTGTACAACACTGCATCGACTTTTTTTTTTTCCAGACAGGGCTTCTCTGGGTAATGGACTGTCTTGGAACTCGATTTGTAGACCAGGCTGGCCTCGAATTCACAGAGAGTGAATTCTCCCTAGTGCTGGGATTAAAGGTGTGCTGCCACCGCCACCACCACCACCGGTAGCTTTTTTTCTTTTTTTAAATGTTGTTATTGGCATTGGATTTGAGTTATCCAGTCCAAATTCAGTGACTGGCTGGACAAAAGTCTCTAGACAGACAGGCCTTCTTCCCAGGTACCCCTCCCTACCCTCCACAGAAACATAAAATGAACTTCCTCCCCTCACTCCCGGACCCCTCACAAAGAAGGCACAAAGTCAGGATTGATGCTGAATCTTTTTTTTTTTTTTAATTTTGCTTTCTTAAAGCGTGTGCTGAGCTGGTGGAGGGAGCAGTTTGGCAATTAAAAAGGCCCAGCAGCTTGGGCAGCGGCATGGGGAAGCCAGGTGAGGGTGGGGTGTCCCTCTGTCCCAGGCCAAGGGGTAGCAAAGCCCGCGCTAACTTCGTAAAATACAAAATAGGGAGAGGTGATGGGAGGGAGATTTGTAAAATACAATATCTTAGGGACTGGCAATAATAAAAAATAAGGTTCATTATTTACAAACAATTTCTGTTCTTGGTCTCTGTACAGTAGGAGATGGGGGTGTGTGATCGTGTGGGCACGTGTTTGTATGTATGTTTGTGTGTTTGTGTGTGTGTATGAGGGGCCAGGAACAGTGGTCGTGTTGGTCACTATGGGAAAGGAAACAGAATGGCCCAGTGAGTGGTTTATTGGAGGAGGACGGATGATCGTGGGAGGGAGAAGTGGGAACAGAGTGGTTGTTGGCCCAGGGGAGCAGTCCAAATGTCCGGGGACAGAGAGGGACCCCAGCCACAGCAGGGACTGGGATGGTTGAGGAGAAGAAAGACCCTTTCTCCTGGGGCAGAGGGCCCCAGGGCGGGGGTGGGAGCTGGATCTGGGTCAGTGAGCAAGAGAACGCCTCTTCTGGGTGCCAGGGTGTCCGTCCTGTGTCCTGAGTCTCGGAGCGGCCTAGGAGAGTTTGATGGTGGTGTTGGGGCCCAGATCCCTGGAGAGAGAAGAGGATCCAGGGATGAATTTGCTTTGAGATGTCCATCACTCAGCTGTGAGCTGGGTCTAGACCAGGGACCTCCTCCTCTGAAAGGATGCTCCGCCCCCAGGAAGATGCCCCTCCCCTGGGAAGATGTGACTCAGGGTGGTGCAGCCTGAGACCCTACCTCTCAACTCACCTGTCATGGAACCACTCCTTGGGGTGGGAGAAGTTGGGGCTGGTGCCATTGTCATTAGTGTCCTCAGGCCAGGTCTCACTCAAGTACTTGGTGGTCTCATGGGTGCTGTCCACATAGTCATGTCGGAGGTGGTCCTGGGGCCTCGGCTCTACTGGCCCCCCGGGTTTGAGCTCCCAGCCTTCTGGGGGCTCCACAGGCAGTAGGGCACCTCGGCCGTCTTCCCATGAACCTGTCCCATCATCGTAGAACAGTAGGCTTCGGGAGGGTACTGGGGAATAAGAACAGGGTGAGCCGTGGGTGCGCCTCAGGTGTCCCCCCTCTGCCCAGACAGCCTTATTCATGTGCTAGGCATGAAGAGCGCAGACTCTGCAATCTTACAGGCCTGACTCTTAATCCTAGCTCTAAGGACCCCTGGCTGTGTGATCTCAGGTTAGTCACATACACTCTGCTCTGATTTTGCTGAGCATTTGTTTGTTGATCTGTAAAATGGGGATAGTAGAATCAACCTCATGGAGATTCAAGGATTCAGTGAGTAATACAGTGTAAGGGACTGAAAGTGTGCTTAGCACAATCACGAGCTCACAAAAATGCAGCACTACTGAGAAGAGACTGCTCGTTTGCTTACTGAAGACTGGGATTCCTCCACCTCACCCACCCCGCCCCTCCACTTTGTGGTTCTAAGGATCAAACCCAGAGCTTCATGCATGCTAGGCCAATACTCTACCACCAGGATACAGAGCCAGCTTGCCCATCCTCCCGTCCCCAACCTCTCTTTCTCTCAAGTTCATATTGAGACAGGGTCTCACTGAGTTGCTCAGGCTCGTCATTAATTCATTTTGTAGCCTGGATAACGCTTTAACTTTCACTCTTCCTGCCTTGACCTGAGAAACCGGGATCGCAGGCCTACACCTTCAGGACCTGCTGAGAGCTGGGTTCTAATTCTACCATGTCACTCGCTTCCTAGGAGACTTAAGGGAAACTTTTTCTCTTCACTTCTAGGCAAGGTCACCCTTCGGAGAAGTCAAGGGGAGGAAAATGGACATTTGTTGGACACCTGTGCCAGGTATTATATAAAGCCTTCAGTTTACAGCACATTGAGTCTCACACGAAGCCTCAGAAGTGAGGTGTTTTAAGCCCTGCTTCCCAGAACTCATCATCAAGGGTCCCTGCAAGCTGGCTTCCTGGCTCCAGACTGCTGGCTCCCTCCCAGCTTCCCCTGCAGGGTCTAATCTAGGGGGATCTATGGAAAAGGCGGCCCCTGGCATTGTGTGAAGCTGCAGTCCGGAAACCAGCCTGCTCAACAAGCCACCTCCTTCCTCAGACATGCCCTCTCCCCTGCCCGGGGCTGCGCTCGCTCCACAGGCTCACCCATGCCCTGCCTTCCCCTCCCTGGGTGATGTCCACGGCACTGCCCCTTCTCCACTGTGTTCTCAGTCTTCTCCTCTGGCCTCCACAGACGTGGCTCTCAGAGCCTAGGTCCCCGACCCCAGTTACAGCGCTCCCGGAGTGGCTTCCAATCCCTCTTCTTCTTAGCGCTCCTCCCTGCAGGCCCCCCGCGTCTTGCTCAGCCTCCCGGCGGCGGCGGCGGCGGCAGTACCCCTCCCCTAAACACACGCCTCCTGCTCTCCCCTCTCTCCGACCTCTCATCTGTTTCCTCTTTCTCTTCTGCCACGTCAGATTCCTGCTTCTGGCATTTGAAAGGGGGCCTGCAAGATCCTCCAGGGCCTGCCTGAAGTGGCCTCTGCCTTGGAAAAACACACCGTTCTTTGCCGTTCCCTGGACTGACTCTTCCCACCCTGGCTTTCCCTTCACATCAGGAAGCTAGTCCAGAAGGCAGGGCGGGCGTATGCTCCCCTAGAACGCACTAGAACCACTGTGCACTGTAAGGACAGCAGCTTCTGGGTATCCAGAGAGCCTAAGATACACGCCCTGGGTCACACAACCAGCCGACAGCAGTGCCCGCTGTGACTGACTCTGAACCACTGCACCACACAGTACCCCACGGGGTGGCACCCACAACACAACTGTCACCCTCACCAGAGGTAGGTGCTCCCAGCAGAGTCCCAGACACCTTGCTGTGGGTCCCCTGTGCCTCAGAATCTTTCTTAACTCTGTGTGTCCAGTAGACTCTACCACATTAGAAATGACCGAAGACGGACACTCATTTGCTGTCCCAATACTAAAATACAAACGGTGCTTAGCCAATGCATCATAACCACTGCCGCCCTCATACACAGCGGTTGGACCTAGAACATCCTACTGTTCTCTAAGTCACACCAAAGGATCTCAGAGAGGCAGACTTAGAGTCTGGGTCTAATTCTACCACTAACATTAAACACACTGTAGACCCTTATTGGAGTACTATCTGCAAAATTAAAGTGTAGAATGAGATAATGCCAACCCCAATCTTTTTGTTGGTTTGTTTGTTTGTTTGTTTTTGTTTTTTCAAGACAGGGTTTCTCTGTGTAGCCCTGGCTGACCTAGAACTCACTCTGTAAACCAGGCTGGCCTTGAACTCAGAGATCCACCTGCTTCAGCCTCCGAAGTGCTGGGATTAAAGGCGTGCACCACCACTGCCAGGCTTCCAATCTCAATCTTTGAAAAATATTTATTTTTAATTTTTTTTAATGTATATGGAGATTTTGTGTGTCTGCATCACTTGCGTGCTTGGTGCCTTCAGAGACCAGAAGGTGGCACTGGATGCCTTGGAACTGGAGTTACAGTGGCTGGCAGCCACCTGTAACCACCATGTGGGTGGTTAGGAATCAAACCACTGAGCCATCCTCTCTAGCCCTTAAAACGTTTTTGAGACAGGGTCTCACTGTGTAGCCCTGGCTGGCCTGGAACTCCCCATGTACACTGGGCTGGCCTTGAGCTCATAGAGATCCACTTGTCTCTGCCTCCTGAGTGCTGGGATCAAAGGTGTGTGCCGGCGCACCTGGCATGGCTTCCCTCTTGCATCTGGCTTCCACCCCGAGTCTGAGAGGTACTCACTTTGACTGGCTGTGTAGACGCTGTCAGCTGCAATAGGGTCTTCCTTCACAGTCTTTGAGCCGGAAGAGAAGGCAGGAAGGCAGGGCGCCAGGGAGCCCAGCACCAGAACGAAGCACAAGGCTGCCACCTAGTAACGGGCAGAGCAGTCATCAGATCTGGGGCAGGGCAGGCCTTCAAGATTGGCCACCCCATCGCATGCAAGAAGCTCAGCGCTTTCCCAAGAAAGCCTCTCCAGAGCTGGCTGCTTCCTAGAGATGGAGTCTCTTGCCCTCCTGAAGCCAAGGCTGCTCAGGTCACCCTCAGCTGAATCCGGGGGAACATGGAAGGCAGTATCAGAGAGAGGAGGGAGGGTTCTATGTGGTTCTCACCCTCAGGGGAGAGAAGTCAGGAAGGGAAGAAAGAGGAAGGGGAAATGGAGGGTTGCAGCTGTGACCAGGGTGGGGACATATCCCCACATCACATTCTCAGCCCCAGGAAGTTGACAAGAAGGAGCTAAGAGTCCCTGGGGAGCTCCAATAAGGCCCTGCCCTCAGGAGACAGACCAACGAAGAGGGCCAAAGAGGCTGAGCCTATCCTAGGTGCCCTTTGGGAGCTCTCAGGGACTCCCCATCACCCATTCCAAAAAGAGCCACCCTCCCCGAGTCTGTAGAAGCCACTTTCCCAAGGATTTGCCCTTCACTGGATTCAGTGGTATCAATCACACATCTGTCAGAACCGGCCTGGGCAGGCCGCTGGCCCCTTCAGGCTCTGCTCACTCTCCTAGAGAGCAGGCCTCCAGAGGAGCTACCCGCTGTGGCCTTGTGCTAGGGAGCAGCACCTACCATGAGGCAGGTGCCGGTCTGAGTGGCCGCCATCTTGTAAGGTCTGGAGATCTTGCTGGTGACCAGAGTCTGGAGTTTCTGCAGCTGCTGGAGCAGGGTCCTGAGGAAGGCACAGTAGTCACCAGGGGGGATCAGGCATGGTGGCCATGTCTACATCCTGGCCTCTCCTAAGGGAGCCGGTTCTGCTCCTGACTAGGCCTTCATGCTTATGTGCCCATTTTAGTCAAGACACAAAAGGTCACCTCCAGCTTGGCCCCCCTGGCTTGGGTACTGGGGGGCCTGCCTCATGGTGGAAAGCTGGGTCACCCTGCGGAAGCTAAGGGGGTGCCCCGAATTGTTCTTGACTCTTCTACGGAAAGGTTATATATCTTTTTCTTACTCACACCAGTCACAGACACATCAGCTTTCCTCCTTTGCACCCCAAAGCACCCTGATGCGACGAGAAAGGCTCTTGGCACAGTGGCTAGTGCGGTCAGTCAATGGCAGCCATTGTTTACGGTAATTTGATTGCTGTTTTTACTATTACTATCATCGCAACACCCGTAACACTGTAGCTTTATCTGTGGACTTCCACGTCAGTCTCCATTGCTAAGTGAGGGCAAGAACTGGGTACTACCCAGCACGGGGTCCTTTGGGTACACACTCAAGTGTTCAACAGTTAATATTGCACTTCTCCACCCAGCTGGGGTCATGCAGTTTCTGAAGTGAACAGCAGGTGGCGAAATTTCCCTAAAGCTCTTCCATATTTAGGGGCAGAGGTAGCTAGATGAAGTTTGAAGGCTCCACCCCTATCCTGATTGGGGCTGGGGGTGGAGTCGCGGATTCTTTAAGCCAATCAGGGCAGTGGCTGGGTTCGGCCTGAGCCGCTAGGTCAGAGGAAGGAAGGGAGAAAATGCAGCTAGGGTCTCCGGAAGCGGGAACAGGAGGATGCCTCTTCCTGGGCACATAGGAAGTTCAGGGCTGAGTCACAACAGAGGAAGACCCTGTAAGTTGTCCTCTCCCTGCACAGGTGCACCATGGTATGTACACATACATACCCAATAAATAAATAAATGTAACTCAAAATTAAAAAAAAAAGACAAAAACTCCAAAAGACAAACAAACAAACAAATCCCAGAGGGAGCTTAGCATAGCGGTTAAGCTTTTGCCTAGTGTGCGCAAGGTCCTGGGTTCAATCCTCAGCACAGCTGGGAGATGGTCGTGTGTTAAGTGCCTACTAAACGCTGTTGTCTGTATTATTGTAATTACTTCTAGAAAATAATATCAAACACCTCAGTGGATTCATAGCTCAGAGCACTATCTAGAATTCAGAACAGCATTATAAAAAGGGGCAAAATCAACAGGTGAGCTTTTTTTATTTTATTTTGTTTTTTGAGACAGGGTTTCTCTGTGTAGCCTTGGCTGACCTAGAACTCGCTCTGTAGACCAGGCTGGACTTGAACTCAGAGAGATTCACCTGCCTCTGCTGGGATTAAAGGTGTGTGCTGGCACTGCCCGGCCAGGTGAGCATTCTTTAATGCCACACACCATGCTGGTTTCAGTCATTGTGTCTTAGAACCTTCACACAGGTCCTGTTAGCCAGTGCTGCTGTCACGTCCTTGGTGCCAAGAAAACTAGGCCCAGAGGTTCAGGAGATAGCAGAGTGGGGCAAGAGCCTAGAGCCCGGGGCTGTGATCTCATGCCCGGTGCCCATGTGGGTTCCGTGGCACTGACGCTTCTCAAGCTAAGTGCAATGGAGTCATCCAGGGCGCTTGTTAAAATGCAGCTGGGATGCTGGAGAAAGGGCTTTAGCAGGTAAAGTGCTCACCCACGCATAAGGATCTGAATGTGGACCCCAGCATCCCTGTGAGAAGGCCAGGCATGAGCTAGGCATGGCGGCACACACCTTTAGTCCCAGCACTCAAGAGGCAGAAAGCAGGTGGATTTCTGTGAGTTCAAGGCCAGCCTGATCTACATAGCGAGTTCCAGGACAGCCAGAGCTAAGTAATAGAGAGACCTTGTCTAAAAAAAAAGCCAGGAATCCAGGCATGGAAGCCAGGCATGGCTGCTATAACCCTCGTGTGTCAGGGGAGAGGGACAGTGGTCACAGGACAGAACCAGCCAGTTCAGCCAACCAGTGGGTGTCAGACTTAGTGAAAGACCCTGTTTTAAATGCTAAAGTGAAGAACAGCCATGGAAGACACCAGATGTTGACCTCTGGCGACACACACACACACACACACATACACACACACAACACACAGAGATAACACACATACAAAGATAACTCACACACACAGATAACACATACAGATACATACAGAGATAACACACACAGATACACACAGAGATAACACACAGACTCACACACGGATAACACACACAGATAACATAACACACACCAACACATACACATGCACGCTATGTAGATTCTGACCCAGCAATCTTAGGAAAGTCCTGAAATTCCTGATTTCTTACAAGTTCTCAGGCCATAATGGGGAACTGGCTAGCAAGGGTCTAGGCCAGCACATTTAACAGTCATGGGAACTACTGGAAGGTATACTAAAACCCTGAAAGAGATGGTTCGGTGGTTAAGAGCACTGGCTGCTTTCCAGAGTACCTGGGCTCAGTCCCCAGCATCCACATGACAGCTCATAACCATCTGGAACTCCAGTTCCAGGAGATCCAACACCCTCTTCTGGCCTCCATGGGCACTTGGCACGCATGTGCTATTCAGACATACATGCAGGCAAAACATTCGTACACATAAAATAAACAGCAGCAACACTGATTGCATCCAGGCACAGTGACGCACACGTGGTACTCTAGTACTCAGGAGGCAGAGGCAGAGGAATCAGGAAGGAGTTCAAGGTTGTCCTCAGCTCCTTAGCGCTTCTAAGCCAGACTCAGTCTCAAAACAAAATAAAATCTACCCAGAGTGCTGGGCCTTCCCTCTGCAGTGAATGATTCAGTAAACCCAACCTTGGGTCAGAGAATAAGTATTTCTTTGTTTTTGTTTATTTCTTTGAGACAGGGTCTCTCTATGTAGCCCCGACTGTCCTGGAGCTCCCTCTGTAGACCAGGCTGACCTGGAACTCAGAGATCTGCCTGCCTCTGCCTCTCAAGTGCTGGGATTAAAGGCGTGCACCATTATGCCCTTCGAGAGAGAATAAGCATTCCTAACAAGTTGAGAGATAGTGCTGATGCTGATGCTGATGCTGCGGAGCACATCTGGAAAGTCTCTGTCCTGTGTAGTCTTACTTGAGCATCTTACCAGCCTGTCAGATGTCTAGAGTTATGTGTAGTTAAAGTCAGCTGGGAAGCCAGGGACCGGCAGGACATCAGAGCTCCCAGTTCCTGGGGTACATTCTGGGGTATTATCCTGACCTGGCTATCTATCTTCTCCCCTGCCTCCCAGAGCCAGCCAGCACCTTTAGTGGGGTAGGTGGGACACAGGGGGTACCACTCACCTGTTGGCATTCTCTAGGGTCTCCACCTTCTTCCACAGCTCAGTGTTCTCTGATGTATATGTCTCCACCCTGGAAGGATCAGGCAGACACAGGCTGAAGGCATCCCCATAGACTCAGCTGCCCCACAGCCGCTGCC